TTGTTTGTCAAAAACTGCTGGACAATGAATGTTTTCTCATCGGAGAAACCAAAATTCGGCCAAGCGAAGCGAATCTTTTGCTCTTTTGAGTCTATTTTTTTCTGTTGCGGTGTAAGTTCTTGCACTTTTTGGAATTTCAATGGCTTTACCCCGAGCTCATTCTTCAATATATTTCGAATGGAATATTGCGATATGTTCAGCTCACGAGCAATTTTTCGGCCACTGCGACGCAGGTTTCGATCAAGTCTTTTCTTTACTTTTCGAACTATTTCTGCTGATGTTGTTGTTTTCTTCCATCCACTTCCTTGACGTCGGGCTACGCTACTAGAACATGCGGTAACATGCGATAGTACGAGACACAAAAGATTTATATACATTTAAATGCTGGAGTGCTCTAATGATAGTCACTTGTGGTTTTCCAGCCAAATAAAAAAAAATCCCACTATAATGAGCTGTAAACAATATAATGAGCTGTCACTGGAATAATTTTAACAGCTGTCGGACGAGTGGCTTAGATATGGCAGCAGTCTGAATTTTGTTGCAATTTTTTCATCTCACATGTATATGTGACATGCAATGGATTAAATTATTAAATCCCTAATATATATTAACATCATTATTGTACATTCCCATTGAAATTTATGTTTTATATTATTCCGTTAAAATCGTTTATGAATTATTGGCTCTTTTCAAAACCATAATCTGGCCTGCCTTTCTGTAAAACTTTTCATTTTTCTCTACTATAAAAGAAACGATAATAATAACAATGGGGTTAAATCTGACTATTTTGAAACAAATGTCTACGACCATCTGATTTAGAATACAATTTTAAACACCAAAACCGCGATTTCTTTATATGGGATTCGATAGTACAAATATTATGGGATTCGGCTGTAGAATTATTGAAAGTAAATAATTCAAACATTGCACAATGTTTTGGAAAATGTACCAGTTTTTGGTAATTTCTGGGAAAATAAATCAATTTCTAGAACCTAAATTTTCAAATAAGCGTCCTCTTTCATCTCATTTCTATTATAATTTTACTTGTATTTGTGAAAGTATAAAAATTGTACTAGGCTACACCCATATTGATGATTATGTCTTAAGTGATTCAATTCCCATTAAAAACTGCATACCAAAGAACAGAAAAAGTTGGCAATTTGATGAGAAAATGCTAAAATTTTTGAAAAACAAGTAAACAAGTTAAAAATTTCCAGTCGAATTTGTAGACAGATGTTTACCCCCGACCAATGTTCGATTATTTATGATTATGTTTGTTATGATTATTCAAATTGTTGACCCTCTATGGGGCAGGTTCCGAAGAATTGGGCCAATATTGTCCATTTTGTATCGGTTCTCAATAACGTACTAAGTTTGGACTATATTGGTTTCTTCCTTCACTTTATATGAGATATGTGATAAATTTTAGAAAATGTTGAAATGTGCGTGAGGTGCAGGATATTATCGACCTTATCTAATATAGATAAAAAAATTGGTATGGGCAAAATTACAAGAAAATCAAACATTTATATCCAATACGAAATCATAAATTTCATATTCTTCCCAGGTTTCTGGTTGAGAGAAATATTTAGTTGTAAAGAATCGCTGACTTGTTTTACAAGTTATGACAGAAAAACGTATTTAAAGTTATGAAACTTTATGGGTGAGATAACATAATCACAACAGGTCTTATTTTAGCTAAATTGTATGTATGTGTGAAATTTGAAGAGTTTTGATGTTCATATCTTGAACCCCATGTGGGGAGGTACCAGAAGGAAAGGTCCGATCTCTACCATATTTACAACAGATCTTGTGTTGATAGAAATATTGAGATGTACAAAGTCTGAATGGAATCGGATGTTAAATTTTGACCCTTTGTGGGGGATGTACCAGAAGGAGTGAACCCCAGACCTTGGGCTAATTATTATATTGTGATATGTGTAATTTGAAGACAATCGGACTCATACTTCACATTTTATAAGAGTTATAAATGATCAAAATGTATACCCTTTGTGGGGGAGGTACTTGATGGAGTGGACCGATATTATCCATATTCGCAACTGACCTAGCACTGATTTCCAACCAAATCCGTTTCAGGACATTTGGAGTCTATCTAGCAATGTCCGTTCTTCCGTCAGTCTGTATGGTATATATCAAATAAATATTGGTAATATTATTATCAAACGTAGATTGAGTTTCGAGATGGACAATATCGGTCTACTGCTTCTGGTACCTCCCCCACAAAATGTTAACATTTTCAAAGAAAATAATTTACTGCACAGGAAGGGAAAATATGATCCAATTTTGCTCCAACTTTGCAAATCCTAATATTTGCTTCAGTTCTAGCTCTGGTGCGAAAATCGACAATATCGGCCCACTTCATCAATTACCTCCCCCCGCAAAGGGTAAACATTTTGAATAATTATATGTCTTAAAATATGTGATGCAATAGTCCGATTGTCTTCAAATTATACACATCACAATATTTTTAATAACCCAAGGTCGGGTTTGAAGATGGAATATATCGGTTCACTCCTTCTGGTACATCCCCCACAAAAGTTCGGAATTTTTAATAACCAAAACACTCATAAAATCCGAAATAATCATCCGGTTCTCTTCAAATTGCACACATCACAATATTTTTATTAACCCAAGGTCTGGTGTACCTCTCACAAAGGGTCAAAATTTTGAATATTCACGAAGCTCATAAAACGCGAAATTAATATCCTATTTCATTCAGACTTGGTACATCTTAATATTTCCATCAATACAAGATCTTGTAAAAAGGTGGTAGAGATCGTTCCATTTCTTCTGGTACCAGCCCCACATAGGGGTCAAATTTTTGAAAAACAAAACGCTCAAAGAAAGCTAAATAAGCATCCGGTTCTCTTCAAATTTTACACATTTGAATATATTTGCTAACGAAAGATCTGTTGTGAAGAGGATATATCTGTCAAAACCTTCTTCTCTTATCCAGAAATCTGATATGAATATCTAATTTATCGGATTTTATGATTTCGCATAAAATTGCATATAAATGTTTGACTTTCTTCAAATTTTGCACATTCCAATATTTTTATCTTTGTGTTTGTGTTTGAAGTATGAAAATACGATACCTCGGTCCGCTATTTCCAAATAATTACTCATATCTCATAAAAAGTATAGGAAGTAGTCGAAATCTGGGAATCTCACCCCACTGTGCGTCGTGGCTTGACTGATTTATTTTCTTGAAGTAGAAATTGTATTATAGTATAAATAGAAGTGGCACTACCGAATTTATCTTGTTATATTTAAATCAGTCTTAGGTCAGATACGAAATAGTCAATATTGGCCAACTGCTTCGGAACCTCCCTCATTAAGGGTCACCAGTTTGAATAATCATAACTCTGTCGGCAAAGCTGACTGATACTAGTTTACTTGTTATTCAACGTTTTTTGGGGCAGGTACATGATGGTGTAATATTATTTTAGTGGTTTTCAGTGGTTTTTCTTGACAAGATATGTTCATGTAGATCAACTATAGACAACATATACCGCTCCGTTCTTTTAAAGATACATAAACATTTTTATTTATTTTGAAAGCTCAGCCAAAACTTCAACGGAATTGGCTGTAATTTGGCATTTGGGCCTCTCGTTAAAATACCCTTGTACAGATATATTCATTGTATTAGATTTCAATTGTAAGTAAAAACCAAGTAGATTTTTACATATATGACCAAACTCAACATAGACAGAGCGAAAAAAGGTGACCGGACCGAATACCCTCCATCGCTTGGAAGAAAAATTGCAAATTTTCAAAAAAAAAAAAGTTTTAAATACTGCAAAAGTCATAAAAATACCGAATATAGGGAGGTACCGTAAACGGGCTATTCGAAGACGTGGACCTTCATAGATAATTTTTGGTTACAGGCTGTAGTACTCATTACGAACTCACAACACGAAATTTGAAATAATTCTGGTGAAATAATTCACACTACTGAATATAGGGAGGTCCGGTTATACAGGGTGAGATGAAACAACTGCAACCAACTTCAGACTGCTGTCATTTCTTTCTCTAAGCCACTGTCAAGATTATTCCAGTGACAGCTCATTATATTGTTTACAAGCATAGAAAAGCATTTTGGTGAGAATTTCCCAGAAAAAAAATTGATTCGTGATGAAATTCAAGCGTGAGTGTGTGATTTCTTTATAATTGGCTGGAAAACCACAATTGGCTATCGCTAGAGCGCTCCAGCATCTAAATGTGAATAAATCTTTTGTGTCTCATACCGTTTGGGGATAAAACCATTGAAATTCCAAAAAGTGCAAGAACTTACACCGCAACAGAAAGAAAATAGACACAAAAAAGCTAAAGAATTGCTTCGCTTGGCCGAAAGTGGTGAACTGCCGAATTTGTTTTTTTCGATGAGAAAACATTCGCTCTCCAGCAGTTTGTAAACAAACAAAATGATCATGTTTACTTGCCAAAGAGGTCAGCTGAAAATGTGCCCCTTCGGTTGGCCACCAGAACTCGCCGGCCATGGTGATGGTGTGGGCAGCCATAACTTTCGATGGTCGCTCTCAGCTCGTGTTAATCGACCGTGGTATCAGAATAAATGCCGAATATTATAGCTAAAATATTTTGGAGGGTGTATTAAAGCTTTGGGCACGCAAACATTTTGGCCGCATACCTTGAACATTCCTACAAGACTCAGGACCATCGCACTCAGCACGCGCGTATCAAGAATTTCCAGCGCACAACAGTTCTACGCAAGGATGTTTCGTACAACACCATTTTATAGCAAATTCGGGTTAACATTATTACTAAAAAATCAAATAAAAAACCTTAAATCCCTTGGTAAAGTTATATGGGGGCTATACCAGAACGAGGAACGATATCAAAATGATTTAATTAGATTTGTTCAGCCCGGTCGAACTTAGCTACTTTTTTGCTTCTTCAATTTTATTCATTACCGTGGAAGCAGTTCTATTTTGTTGATTTTTGCGCTTTTATGTACTTACCCATATTGACCACAAGAACAAGAAGAACTGTATTATCAGCATAGCGCAATGATATAACAATGGCACCACATAGGTAGGCAATTATTTGAGTGAATGTAAACAGAAGGAAAGGAATCATTGCTTTTGGACGATTCTGAAAGGGTTGGAAACAATTAAATGTGTGACTTAAATTCGACTGAATAGTATATGACTCACCTCTTTAATGCCCCTGACAAGAAGTGCCGATACTGTGATAATCAAAACACAAACCGCAAATGCAACACTGCAAAACCAGGTGAAGGCAACTGGAGTATAAAAGAATAGAATAATTTAATTTCGCGTTACACTATAGGTTAGTCTCAGCAAACATGTTTGAGAACACCTCTGAAACCACGGTAATGTATTTGAAACTCCAAAATTGACAGGTAGAAAGATTAAAGAGAGCATGTATTCAGATTGTGATCATGCTTGATCGTTAAAATTATTCTCTCTATTAATTCTACTACATTCATTCAAAATTTATTCACTCACTTGCATCTTCTTCCTCAAAACTCTCCTTCGTTATAAACATTTGTTTCATGGCAATTATAAGCAAAAAGAAACTAATGTTAATGGCAATAAATCCCCACCAATATATGTTGATCCAGCCAATACAATTTCCAAAACATGTGCGTAATCCCATTTTTAAGAACTAATTTTATTTTTTTGTTTTTAATGCTTGATAATAAAGTTGAATTTGTTATTCGGTGATATGTTCAGTAATGTTTTTAATTTGAATAACCAATGTCTACTGAGGAAATAATTGCCGAAAGACAAACTTAATATTCACCCCATTCAAACTAGTCGTCAACATTTATATATATGTATATAGGGTAAGTGTACCAGTAGTCGGCACTTTTAGGATTTTCGATTTTTCAATCTTTCAACATTCTGAGTGAAATCTTTCAATTGCAGAAAAATAAAGTTGTTCAGATTCCAAATTTTGTTTAGTTATCGAAATAATAAACAAAAATTTAATTTGTTTTTATTAAATTGGCAAAATTTGCAATTTTACTAAAATAGTAGTTTTTTGCTAGTAGTCGGCACCATTTTCCAATGCTCGGCATGTCTATTTGCCAGTAGTCGACATATGCTTTTTTTATTTCAAATAGTATAAAGCAATGCTATATTACTAATTCACAGTTTAATTACCTAAATTCGTTTTTAAATAGTGTTTTATTTAATAGAACAGTGTTTGGCTTGCTTGTTTGGGATACCATAGTATTTTGTTCTTGCAAAATCGTCAGGCAAAATCCCATTATTGTTGTTTTTATAAAAACAACGTTTGTTTATGAGTGGAGAACGATGGTAATGTTTACCAGGGGGTAAGGCAGGGAATACCTAGGTTTCGGAAAGAGCCACCAATCCTCATCAGTTCCCTTGTTTCTTGTCTGGGATATTCTCCCCAGAAGTTATTTTAAAAAATAACTTCTATGACAAAAAACATTTTTTTACCCAAGTGACGAGATCGTAAGCTCAATAGAAGAGGAACAAAAGAATTACATAAAACTAAAATTCTTTTGGAAAATCTTCTAAATCTTACAACCGCACTTATAAACATTTACATCTTTCTCCACTTGTTATGCATTCGTTCAACCTGAACGAAGTAACATAACCATGTAAGTTTGTTTTGTCTGTTACAAAAAAACCCCTTTTATTTAATTATCATTCTAAACTAAATATAGGTAGAAAATCAAGAATAGTATGGTTACCTTCAGTAACGTATGGACTTTCAATTAAAAAAAATGTGATTAAATAAAAAGAAACAAGTACCATTCTTATATTTGGAATTTGTGAATTGATCTCTTTCCTTTCGATAGGCAACATTTTTTTCAAAAATGCCACTGCTATCTAAAACGTCAAATAGCTGACTTAAAAAACCTACTTAAAAGTTGGTCAAAAAGCACAAATAAAAGCAACTACGGACTCGAAGCTATTTATACCCTACAACACTATGTGTTGGGGGTATTATAAGTTTGATTGGGCCAAAAATTATGTAACTTTCGAAATATTGATTTCCCACATAGGAAAGTATACATGGATCTTGCTATGTATGTCCGTCCGTCCGTCTGTCCGTCTGTCCATATTAATTTGTAATCACTCTACAGGTCGCAATTATTGCCCGATCTTCACGAAATTTAGAATGGAGGTGGGGATAAGGTCAGAATAGAACCCTATTTCTTTTGGAGATGATCGCACAATATTTAGGGGTCGAAATGGACCAAAAACTGAAAAAAATCCTGATTTTGCAGTTGCTCTACAGGTCGCTATTATAGACCAATCGATGCGAAAGTTAGCATGACTCTAGATCTTAGGGCTGGGCAGAAGCCATCTTGCCATTTGGTTGTCATCGGGTAATATTTAGTGGGCGAAATAGGCTACAACATTTGTGTTAAATAAAAGTCAAATTTGCTATTGAACCGCGAATATTTTTAATCCCGGTGAAATCACAAATAGACGAACAGGTCAATTCTGACCGTTACGTAGATGCCGATAGTAAATATATCGGATATATAGAGCGAAATATATACAGTGTGTATATACAAAGGAAGGGGATGTTAGTTAGAATGCTTATATCTCAAGAATGGCTGGACCTATTTTGACAAATTTTGTCAATTCAGAATGCCCTCTTGACATAAAAATATAAAATCTAAAAAAAATCGCTGAAAAATATGTCAATAATGATGTTAATATAGATTTTGTAGTATTATGTGACATTTTTTTATTTTTTCATATTTTTTATCGCATGTGATTTTTTCAATTTGACTTATAATATTGAAGTGTATATTTTGTAATATTTTTTCACTTTACAACACAGGTTGGGGTTATTATATATAGATTGCAATTATTATCCGGTCCTCACGGAAATTTTCGCAAGAGTAGGTTTAGGCTCAGAAGGGCTAGGCCTATTGTTTTCAAAGATGTCTGCAATATATTAAGGGTTGAAATGGACCAACAACTAAAAATTTTCCTGATTTTGCAGCCGTTATAAAGTCACAAATAGAAACCAGAGGACACGGAATCTCGCATAAATTTAGAGTTTAGAACAGCGGGTACAATGGACCACTAATTTTGTGTGGAAACATACCAGCATTACTTACAGGCGATATCCGAAATACTCAAAAGGCGAACTTCAGGCTGTTTTATGCTGATTTCGTTGAGGAATATAGCCAAATATCGTAGACAAGCAAATCATATAGATTAGTCTAAATTTGGAGATACAGAGGGGCCTCTTGGAGATGATCGTAAAATATTTAGGGGTTCAAATGAACCAGAAACCGAAAAAAATTCCTGGTCACACAATTGAAGACAATCGACATGCCTGAGAAGAGAGTTAAGGACAGCGAAGAATTCTAGCATTTTTGATAACCATTGGATTATATTTAGCTTTAAAGTGGACCACACTAAAGTGGACCACAACTAAAAGCACGACGGAGAGCGTAAATATTGGGCAAATGTCCCTGATGACATAATTTCAAAAGCGAAATTTTCCAAAATGGATCTGGACATAAGGGGGCTGCTAAGATATTGTAGGGTATCACATGGTCGGCCCCGCACGACTATAGCCTTTGCTTACTTGTTTTTTAATTGAGTAGTTTTTGGATTATTTTTTAATACTTTTCTCAAGTTTTGGTGAAATTGGTCAAAAATTATATTTTTCTAGTAATCCTCACCCCCTGCCGACTGCTGGCAAATCTGTTTTTTTCTATTCCTAATGTCGGCATTAAATAATATAACAGAAAAATGCTTGACTTGTATATTTTTGAGTTATAAAATGATCTTTAGACTGTTATTTTCTATTATAAAATATTTCTGATTTCAAAAGTCATAAATTTAATTTACTTAAATCGATTATTAAGTTGACGCCACCACTAATTTTTTCTTTACAAACAAGCACTATCGCATGCGTTGGAAGACACTCACTAACGAAACCCGTTATTCTCTCGTAATAAATGATCGGAGCTCATTGTTTTTTTTTTTTTTTTTTGCAATTATTTCATTATTTGGTCAATTCTATTCATAGTTATTTAAGTTTAAATTTCAAAACTGCCGACTACTGGGGCATGCCGAACTTAGGCGCACTTACCCTATATATATATATTTTTTTTTTTTGTACACAATCTTCAAAATTTCAAGTTCATGTTGAGCCTAAGTCTTATCAGAATTCATGAAATTGAGAATAAACATTGATAACGTTAGCTGGACAGAGTCATAGCTAGCGGGTGTTTAATTTAATTATACCCTATACCACACTGTTTTACAGGGTATTAGGTTTTTATGTATTTATTACGTTGTATTTATTTTTTGTAAAAGACAACAGGAGTTAAAATAGATCCCTAGATCAATTTTATGTAGGAGACTTCAGATTTTATGGACAAAAAGTTCTAAGGTCTATTAAGGAAACATATGGTGGGAGCACCAGAATAATTTGTAACATGGAGAAGGAAACGAGATAGACCCATGGTTATTTTTAAGGAACTTCATAGAATCACTTTCTGAGTTGAATAATGCATGTCAATAAAATACAGGGCGCATTTATTATCCGATTGAGATGAAATTTTCCAAACAATATTTTTTTGGCCCAAGGACGAACTCTATTGAAATTGTTGAGAATCCGCTCAAATTTAGGTATTTCTCCCATATATATCTTCAACCGATTTTGGGTTAATTTGGCACCAAATGGCTAATATAAATCCAAACGACCTGTATTTCGGTACATCCCACCGAATTCAGTCTAGAAGAAAGTAAATCAAATTTGGTGGAAATCGATTCAGATATAGCTATAACTCCCATATATATTTGGGGTTATTTATTCGATTTGGGGTTTAAAGTCCCTCACACGCGTAATATACATCCCACAACAATGATCTTTGGTACCAGATATCAAATACAGCTCTGAAATAAGCGTATCAAATTTTGTCAAGATCGGTTCAGATTTGAATATAGCTCCCATATATATCTTCAACCGATTTCGGGTTAATTGTGCCCCAAATGGCCAATATCAATTCAAATGACCTGAAATTTGGCTAATGCGACCTAATTCACTGTAGAATCAAGTACATCAAACTTGGCGAAAATCGGTTCAGATATAACTGTAGCTCCCATATATAAGTTCCACACATTCGCAATATGCATTCGACAACAATGACATTTGGTATTAAAGAAGTCAGTTCAGATTTGAATATATCTCCCATATATATCTTCAAGCGATTTCTGGTTTATTGTGCACCAAATGGCTAATATCAACATATACGAACTGAATCTTGGTAATTCCGACTGAATACATCCTAGAAAAAAGTACTTCAAATTTGGAGAGAAATTGTTCATATATTGCTAAAGCTACATGTTTCATCCGATTTGGGGTTTTAAGTAACTCACATGTGTAATATACACTCCACAACAATGATCTTTGGTATCAGACATAAGATATAGCTCAGAAATAAGTGCCTAAAATTTTGTCAAGATGGGTTCATATATATGTTCAAGCGATTTCAGGTTAATTGTGCCCCAAATGACTAATATCAGTCCAACAGGACTGAATCTTGGAAATTCCGACTGAATTCATCCTAGAAACAAATGTCGTGAAAATCGGTTCGGGTATAGATATAGCTCCCATATATATATACTTCATACAATTTGGTGATAAAATTCCTCACATGCGTAATATGCACACCACAATAATGATATTTTTTCCTATTCAACCGAATATTTCCATTTGGTGCAGGTCGGTCCAGTA